TTACTAAGATTAATACTAGGAAACACTCCATTTCTTGTAGCTCATATGATAACCTCTGAAGAAGTAGGCAGGTATTATTTTTCCTGTTTTCTCCATATCTGCAGACAAACATCTTCCATACTAGGAATGTTAGAAGAAATACCTGAATTTCTAGAACTATTTGTGACTAGAAAAGTATCTAAAAACTGTATTTCTTAGGGTTTCCCTGAGAAGTGCCTTCATCTGACACTTTCCACGGCAGAACCTGTTTTGTTTWGTTTTGTTTGGTGATGATAGACAATGAAAACAAGAGGTTTTTGTGTAAATCATGCAAATTATAAGTACTTCCCCATTGCTCTCTTGTAGCGAGTTCMGCAACCAGCATCAGGCCACCAGCTTGCCCAGTACCTGACCATAAGCCTGTCCCCATTCCACCAGCTGCCTTTGGGATCATCTAAGGTAGGCTGTGAGCATCATTATTTTATACTGAGGCACTGAACACTGCAGAACACAGCAACACGTGTCAAACAAGATGGGTGACACAAACATTAATGGGGAATTCTGGTTAATAAGAATTTTGATATTTTCTCTTAATGAAATGCCCAGGCTTTATTGTTTTTATTTTCTCACATTTAAGGCTTGCCTTGCCACCCTGGAGTGGCTGGGAGCTGGTGCCCTGGCCTGGGTAGCTCTACGAGTTTACAGTTTTGTGGCTTATAGTTTATTGTGATTGCTCTTCTGTGCACAACGAGCTTTGAGGGGAGCTGCACGGGGGCTCCTATGTGTCCCACCTCTGCTCCCCATTGCTCCAATGCATCCCAGAACAGTGTTGCGCCCTCTTTTTTATCTCGAGTTCCTTTTCTCCTGGTTCAGGGCCCCAGGAAGACTCTCCTGGTGTCCACACGGAGACGGAGCCAACACTTGGGCCAACTCTGCCTCCCTGCTGAGTCCCCGTAGCCTTCGGCCTCATGCACGGGGGCTCCTGCAGGAGCCGGGGGCCGCGGTGCCGCCCAGCGCCGTCACCCCTGTCCCGGCCGCCCGGCACCGCGGAGGGGCCTCCTGTAGCTTAGCAACCCCCCTCTCGCTTTGTTAACTTGGGCTCTTCAATCTCCTTAATGAAGAAGAGAATCAAGCCAGGTAATTGATGCTGGGCCGTTTAGCTGATGAATAATTGACCGTCTGGGTAATCCTAGCTATTTCCTCGATCAGATTGCGCGGTGGAATGGCCGTATCATGCCGTGGGCGGCCCTGCCTGCCACAAACGTGCCCGAAACCCCGAGTGCCGGGCGGACGCGCCCGAGCCGGCGCCTCGCCGGCAGCATTGCACACTGCAGGGTAACACACGTGTCTCAGCAGAACTTGCCTGGTCACCCGGGTCAGTGCTGAAAAACATCCCTGCTTTGTCACATATGCAATGAATAAAATTGCTAAGGGGTGGAAAAAAATCCCCCGGGTTCAGGGTGTGGGATGCTCACCATAGGTGATCAGGAAGCCCAAGGGGCTCTGTGCTCGCACGGGGCAGGACGGGACAAGGTCTCCAGCTCCCATCCGGCTCCGCATCTGCTCRGCCCTCGCATGGGAAGCGCCGCAGGTGCCCCCTTGCAGAGCAGCCACACTGGACACAAACGGGGCGGGTTCAAAAACAGCGACCGCAGGAGACSAGAGGCGAGACCAGGGCCTGCGCCCACGGGTGCCAGTGCTGCTCAGTCTGCTGAAGGGAGGACAGCGGGGTGACGCTGCGTTAAGTSACACGTCCCAATCACCAGGCTGGGTGCTCAGGCTGGGTACGTTCAAGCATTTATTATGAAATTATGAAACAAAACTGAGGGCCTCRTGGCAACATCTGGACTGCAACGGCCTTTGAATTAAATTCTGAATGAGAACAGGACATTTTGATATATTGGGAAAATGGATACAAATCTTCAAATTGTGACAAAGAATAAAATAGCACCATGGATAAAACCTGGGCTTTGAATCTGACTTTTACCTTCAGGTTTTGTGTGAGTCACCAGTGATGTTTCATCGGGGTATGGCTCTGGCTCTTTTTTCCTTCCAGAAACGCTATTAATTATTTACTGGTAGGTGAATGATCTTTCAAATCTATTGCAGTGACACCTTTGAGTCTGCAGATAGTTTCTGATGGGAAACCATCTGGGCTCTTTTAACTTGTTATTGTTTATCCTTTGGACTCCTCTCCGCTGTCTGTAAGGTGTAACGGCAGCAGACAGGGCCAGGGGCATCAATATTTTACAGCTTTAATTAACATGAGCTGAGCAGCTAGATCAGCCTGGCCKGGTTCCGGTGGAAAAGCCAGTGCCTTTGGGAGGCAAGGAGCGCTTGGAGCAGYGGGGTGCGCGCGGGCTGGGTGCCGAGGGCTCCAGTTGCAGCCCTCCCGGCAGCTCTGAGTCCAAGAGCCCTCACGGACACGCGGGGAGGGAGGGAAGGAAGGGCAGGGGCTGGGGAAAGGGGCAGGCCGGGACGGAGCCCCTGCAGCCAGGCCGGGGAGCAGGCGCTGCCCCCGCTGCACCCAGCGCTGCCCGGCTCTCCCGCTCGTTTACCTTGACCAGGGAGYGCTGAAGAAAGGCGGGATTCAACCAAAACAAAGGCATGAAATTAATCCCTYTATTAATTACCTGCCCATAGCAGGGCAGCCTATAAATATGGTGCCACTTTAGATAAAACTTTCATGCAGCTATTTAGGCCCTCTGAAATATAAATGATTTCCTTTAAATTTTTTATCATAAATCAGGGTGCGGAGCCTCACCACAACGCGCACATGTCCCAGATGGCAGGAGGCTGCGCTGAGGGGCCGCGCTCTGCTTTGCGCGCCCCCCGCGCCCGCGCAACCTGCGCGGGGCCGAGCAGGGAGCGCGGGGCCGAGCAGGGAGCGCGGGGCCGAGCAGAGCAGGGAGCGCGCAGGCTGCGCGGGGCCGAGCAGGGAGCGCGGGGCCGAGCAGAGCAGGGAGCGCGCAGGCTGCGCGGGGCCGAGCAGAGCAGGGAGCGCGCAGGCTGCGCGGATCTGTCCCCGGTGCTGGAGCTTCGCGCCGCCGCTCCCCGCGGTGCCGGCGGCTCCGGCGCAGACCCCGCGGAAGCTGCTGGGTCTGCGCGGAGCCTCGATCCGGAGCGTCTCGCTCAGGGTCACTCGCTTCGGGATCGGCGGCGAGGAAGTGCGAGCGCATCCCGAAGGAACCGCGTTTTATCGCAAGGGAAACATCTCCGGTTTTCTCTGAACACCGCATACAACCCAGCACCTTCAGCAGGAAACCGAGCGAGCGCTGGCTGCTGTTCTCTATCTATTAAAGCCCTTGAATGCTTTAAACGATTAAATATGAGTAGATTTTATTTGCTTGTTTATTTATTTTTAAGAACTAGAAACTTCACATTTGCAAAATGCTGAGAGCCACAGACCAGCAAGTCTGAAGATATGTGAAGATTGTGAGAAATCAAAAGTGAATTACTGCTCAATAGTAAAATCGCTCCCACTTCAGGACTACCCTTCTCTAGGTGTCTCCGTGTGTTTGTTTTCTTGTCATAGTCAAAGATTAGATGTTTCCAGCCCCTAAAATGCACGTGAGCACGGCACAGCCTTTATCACTAGCCAGTTATAGGAGTTTAAAATGCTTAACACCCCCGAGCTTAGCTTTCTCTCCTGTGCTTTGTGGTGTATTCCAGAGTGTTTAATACCAGCCACTGTGCGGGCTGGCAGGCAGCTCCGTGCGCGTTTGCAGGGTAATTTCAGTGCTCGGAGAAGCTGCTCCCGCCGGCAAGGAACTTTCTGGTCTCTCTGGAACTTGAAGCTGCACCGAGGACATTCAAGAAGCTCCATGTTCTATCCATATAGATGGATTTCTCACGATTTCCTCTGAAAGGAAAAATAAATCCTGAGTGAAATTATTTCCTTGTACTTTTCTTTTTTTTTTTTTTTTTTTTTTAAATAAAAATCTCACCCACAGATCCTCTTTACCCACCGCCAAATGCTGAAATCAACTGAGTTTTATTCCCCCCCGGGTCCTTCCTCCCGTGTAACGGAGCTCCGTCCGCTAGCGCTGCCTACCCCGGGCCGAGCCTCCCTCTCCGGTTTCAGGGGCAGATTTGCCCGGGCAAGAAGCGGCGGCCGCGACCCCGAGCGGCGCCCGCCGCGGGGACGGAGCCAACGGGGCTGGGCCCTGCGCTGGGGACTCGGGATCGCGATTGGAGCCGCTGCCTGTCGGGCTCGCTGGCAGCTCGCGGGTCGCGTTATGTCATCGTTCCCCTACGCTGAGCCCTGTGTTCGCGTTTCCGTTAATCACGCAGGAGCTAGAAAAAAGGGGGTGCTTTTCCTTTTTGTTGCCCGGAGCTTGTTCGGTTTATCCTGGAACGCGGGGGGCGGTGGGGGGGACGCCCCGCGCGCCAGGAGCGGCTCCGAGCGGGGACATTTGGAGACGGGCTCGGGGTCGYGGCACCGCTGCTGGAGCAGCTCGGAGCTCGGCAGCCCGTCCCGGAGCCCCCAGCGCGGGGGTGCCGAAAGGGAGGGTAGTCCCACAGGCTCCCCCGGGGCTCCTGCGGGGAGGGAGGCGAGCGCAGAGCCCCACGTGCGAGGCAGAACTACGGCCCCGCAGCCCCGAGGAGCAGCCGGCAGTTTGTGCGGGCGGGATCCGCGTGCCCCCGACCCCAGCCCAGCGCCCAGAGATGTCCCCTCCCTGCGCCCCCTTCCCCAAACACAGCCCCTCCGCCCGTCTGCGGCCCCCTCCCGGCCCGGGCGCCTCGTGGGCCGGGCTCGCTGGGCCGCCCCGCTCCGCGCCGCCGCCGCCCGGGCCCTCGGCGGCCCGCGGCCCGACGGCGCGGGCGCTGCCGCCGCTCATCACGCCTGCGCGCGGCCCCAGCGCCGTGTAAGATGAGTGAGGAGGCAGGTGGGGGGGCGGCAGCGAGCGAGGCCAGGGAAGCTCCGTCGCCGGGGACAGCTCACTGTGACAGTGGCGAGCGGCGCGGACGAGCCCGAGGCCACGCGCGGGGCTGCCCGTCCGCCCTTGCGGGGCGCGAGGATGATGGCCATGAACGCCAAGCAGCCCTTCGCCATGCACGCTGCCCTGCCGGAGCCCAAGTACTCCAGCCTGCACTCCAGCTCGGAGGCGATGCGCAGGGTCTGCCTCCCCGCCCCGCAGGTATGTAGATTGAGCGCAATTACTGCTTTAAGGCACATTTTTTGACAGACACTCGCTTAATGTTTTTTTCATGTCCCCAGAACAATCGCGTATCTCTGAGCCGCTCTCCCCCGCTCCCCGCTCCCTCTCACTCGTGTCTCTGATCCACATGTCTATCCAAGCACAGCTTCTGCCTTCATATTAATTTTTATGACCTGAGCTTTGAGGAGGAATCTCTGCGCGCGGGAAGGGTTTTAATCCGGAGATGACAGTATTCCCCACTGACTGCACGATGCGCATTCTTGCTCGCAGCTCCAGGGCAATATATTCGGGAGCTTTGATGAGAGCCTGCTGGCCCGCGCCGAGGCGCTGGCCGCCGTCGACATCGCCTCGCACGGCAAGAGCCACCCGTTCAAGCCCGACGCGACCTACCACGCCATGAGCAGCGTGCCCTGCGGCTCCGGCTCCGCGGGCGCRGCCCTGCCGCTGCCCGCCGCGCTCCCGCACCCGCACCACGCCGTGCACGCGCCGCTCGACGGCGACCTGCTGGAGCACCTGTCGCCCTCGCTGGCCGTCGGGGGGCTGGGCGAGCCGCCGGCCGCGCCGCCGCCGCTGCCGCCGCACCCGCTGGGCGCCATGGGCCACCTGGCCATGGGCATGGGCCCCCCCGGGGGCCCCGCGCCGCCGCTTCCCGCGCCGCCCTGTCTCCCCGACGTGGAGTCCGACCCGCGGGAGCTGGAGGCCTTCGCGGAGCGCTTCAAGCAGCGCCGCATCAAGCTGGGGGTGACCCAGGCCGACGTGGGGGCGGCCCTGGCCAACCTGAAGATCCCGGGCGTGGGCTCGCTCAGCCAGAGCACCATCTGCCGCTTCGAGTCGCTCACGCTGTCGCACAACAACATGATGGCGCTGCGGCCCGTGCTGCAGGCCTGGCTGGAGGAGGCCGAGGCCGCGCACCGCGACCGCGCCGCCAAGCCCGAGCTCTTCGCCGGCGCCGAGCGCAAGCGCAAGCGCACGTCCATCGCGGCGCCCGAGAAGCGCTCGCTGGAGGCCTATTTCGCCCTGCAGCCGCGGCCCTCCTCCGAGAAGATCGCCGCCATCGCCGAGAAGCTCGACCTCAAGAAGAACGTGGTGCGCGTTTGGTTCTGCAACCAGCGCCAGAAGCAGAAGCGCATGAAGTACTCGGCCGTGCACTGACGGCGGGCGGCGGCCCCGGCCCGGCCCCGGTACCGGCCCCGCGCCGCCCCGAGGACCCGGCTCCGCGCGCCCCGCTCGGTCCTGGCGCGGATCGGGTCGGGCCGGGTCCGCGCCGCCCGCTGAGGCCGCTCGGCCCCCGGCGAGCACCGTCGGGCGGGGTCCCGGGGCCGAAGGCAGCGGGGACTCGGGGACCCCCGGGATCCGGACTCTGACCAGCCACGAGAAGAGCCGTGTGGGACGCGGCGGCGCAGGCGGAGCCGCCCGGCCCGGCTCCGTCCCACCCGGTTTGAGTGTCGCTGTGACCCGCTCCGCTCCGCTCTCACGGTTTATCCATTTAGTCCGCCCCATCCCTTGGAGAAAAACTCTGAAACGAACGGTGTTCCTCACTCTGACTCTGGAATAAAGCCTTTATTTTTCAACCCGAAGAGAAGGGGTCTTTTCTTTCCTCCTCTCCTCCCGCGCCCTGGACGCCAGGATAGCAAGCCCAAACGAATCGATGCGCTGACAGCGGGACCTTCCGCGGGACGTTTTCCCCGCGGCCGTCCCGGGGCCGCCCGCTCCGCACCGCTCCGCACCCGGCCGCGGAGCTCGCGGAGCGGATGCGGCCGCTGCGGTTCGATTTAAACAGCAGCAACAAAATGTCCCTGACCCAAACCCGTGACGGGGTCGTTCCCAGCGCTGCTGGAAAGGGGGGAGGCTTTTATTTCTGATTCCCAGAAGCACCTTAACGATTAAAAATTAATGCTCGGAGTACGATCCTCCTCTCAATATCTGCCCGCAGCGTCTCGGTGGGTGCCAAGTATCTGGCCTGGGGCCGGGCCGCCCGCCCCCCCGTCGGGGACGCACCTCGCGAGTCCAGCCGTCTAACTGCGYCCAGCCCGAGCGCTCCCTCGCTCCGCGATTTTCCAATCAGCCCCAACGATTTTTCCCCAATCAAATATCCTTTAATAATAAATGCCCTTATGCCATTACACTATATTGCGGGTTTTGAAAATTTAAAATAAGGATGATGTAATATTAATCGCCTACCGTGGTATAAAAGGGGCAGAAGGCAGCTCCGCCGGCGTCTTCTCTTCGCCGCCCGCGCGGCAGCTCCTCGGCTGCCCGTGCCGGCTCGGGCTGCGGCTCCGCCGGCTCCTGCAGCCGCGCCAGGTAAGGGGCACCTCCACCCCGCGCTGCTCGCGGCGCTGCGGGCCCGGGGCTGCTCCGGGCCGGGCTGGGGGGGTCGCGGCGGCGCCGCTCCGGATTCTCCGCCGCAGCCCCGCGCTGCGGGAACCCGCCCGCGCCCGCCCGCTGCGGGGCGGCTGCGCCGGGGCCCGGCGGAGATTCCCGGCAAAGCCCCGCAGAGCTGCGCCGGGATTTCTTGTCGTCCTCGTTGTTACAATTGAAATATATAATTTTTGACACACTCAGATTAAAAAGTTTTCAAAACGAAGGCCCCCAGATTTGGGAAGAGGCGCTGGTGGAAACACCCAAGCTGAAGTGCGGGCGTTGCGAGCTCTGCGTCTCATCAGCCTTTTGTCTTCCAGCGCGGAACCAGCGCAGCTTTTAGCCTCCTAAAGCAGGACTGAGGCGGGGGGASCCGCAGATTCGGTGCCGCATCCGCTGCCTCTCCCTGTCAGGAGGAACCGGGTTCGTACTGCTGCCAAAACGGCAAACGAGTCACTGACCGCTTGCTTTTTTTTGTGATTGCTTTTGTGACCGCTATGTTTATGTGACAACTCTGCATTTGTCCTTTTCGGCCAGGTATAGAAAAGGGCTTAAAATGAAAATCCAGCTCTAAATGGAAGTTTTGCACCTAATCTGCGAGGACCGTCACTCTCGGGGGTGCTGCCCGGAACCCTGCGTTACCTGCTCCTCTTGCCTGTGCCGCTGCTCCCCGCTCTGCTCCTCTCGGACATACGTTTGCACCCAGGGGCTCTTGCGTAGATTCGGGGCGCTTGAAGCTGAGATGATTCCCTTTCACTCTCGACAAATTCCAGGTTTCTTTTTACCCGGCATGCGGAGCTTGAGCCTTGCTCTGCCCAGGCACCATATCTAGCACCTGAGTGCTTCACTGGCGATTTTACTTTGGAGACCAGGTATGTATTTTTTTGAYCATTATTCATTCCCAGATTTTCACTGGCTCTAGCCCTGGGGGGTCTGGTTCAGATAAATGCACTGCRATAGAGGAAACTCACCTGGTCTTCCAGGAGCTGGGGATAAAATTTGCCACTGACCCTGGCAGAGGTAGTTCAGAACCCATGTTTGGTGCCAAGGACACAGAGCAGCYGTTTGCATTTTGTCCTTGATGAGTAGTGCCCTAAGCTATAAAGGTGCCAAAGGGGAATGAATGGAAGGGAGAAAGGGCTTTGGGGCTGTCAAGGACTGCTGACCTGGTCTACAGTCAAACCGGTGTGCGGCACCACTCCAGCCTCACGGCCTGGGGCTGACCACCCTGCTCCATCCCTACACATCCCACTGGAGCCCKAACCACAAGCGCTCCAGCCTTGGAGAGACTTTGCAGGGTTATGTTGGCTGCAGAAATGCCACCTGTATTTGTGATCCTGGGGATATGAGCTCTCTAACACAGCCTAGTGCATCGYGTGTACTATGAAGCTCCTATTTTGGAGAATACCTAGTGGTACTGGAAGGGGAAATCCCTGGGCAATTGAGTGCCGCCCAGCTGCGTAAGAGTTGTGGGTAGAAATCTCAGCTGGCCAAGGATGCTGCCCTGGTGTGGGGGTGATGGCTGCATGGGCAACAGCATGAGGTGGGGGGACCAGCTTGGGAACCCCTGGAGTGGCGCTCAGCGCTGGCGGGATGGGATGCACAGCTGCAAACTGCGGGGAAGCGCTGCCGCCCGGCCTTGGAGCTACTCCCAAGGCTCCCCAGGATATCAGGGATTCCTTCTGTTCCCATCACCAGCAGCAGCATCGGGTGGGATGGCTCTGCCAGGATGGGTTTGTGCAGGAGACAAAGCTCGGCCATGTGGCCGGGAGATCCAGGTCGGCACCAGGACAGCCCAGCTGCTCCCGGCCCCCAGAGCCCCTCCTGCCTGCACAGGACCCCCGGCCCTCGTGCTGCTCCAATCCCTTGAGGCTCTGCCTGGGCAGTGCCATGGGAGCCCTGGGACCACGCACACTCTGAGCAGGGCCAGTTGTCCGGCTGGGCATCCCAGCCTTCTTTTGGGGGTTAATTAGAGGTTTGGGGGTTTGTCGGCAGCTGCCAACAGGTCCGCACCCCAGGCTGGCAGTGCAGCCCTGCCGGTGCTGTGACACGGCTGGGCTGCAGCGAGGGGACGAAGCCGGGGCCCACGGCAGCCCCTCGTGTGCACTGGGCAGCACTAGGCTGCATCTAAACCCGGGAGACAAAGCCAGAGTTAAACAGAGACCTGAGGCAGAGCTTTTAAACCCTGTGGCTGGGGAGGCCAGAGGCAAAGCCAGAACCAACCTGAACTCTGGGGAAAACTCGAGTGGGGTCTGATGGGCCCTCAGCTATGTGCTGGGATCTCCTCTGCCCGGAGCTGCCCCTGCACCTCCCCTGGCAGCCCCTGCATCCCGTTCCCCGGACATCCCGGCGTCAGCACCGCCGACGCTCAAGGAAACATTGTCAGTCCTTGTGGGTCTGGCAGAACCTCTGTTTTATGCCATGTTTTGACAAGTTTGTATAGAGTGAAATCCACATTGCACTGACTAGGAGAGGGATAAAGCTAAATTTTCTATTATTCAAAAGAAGAAAAATCAGGGCTAGGAAAACAGTTTGACTGAAAATAGCTAGTAATAATGACCCAGAAAGCAGTCACTGATGCACCTTTAACAACGCCTCAAGGAGGAGCTCCCTCCCGGCTGCAAACGCTCCCAAGGCTGAGCCCTACCGGGCTYTCCAAACCGGCCCTAGTCCAGGCGCTTTCACAAGGGGCCTTGGACCCTCCGTCCTGGCCATGGGGGCTGTAAAACATGCCCCATAACAATTCATTTTTATTTGCACGAGCACATAGGCATGTGTGCAGAAAAACACAGGCAAACACAAAACTCAGGCCGAGGTGCGGGCTCTTTAGTGGAGCAGCGTGGGCAGGAGGAGGAGAACTCAAACCTGGACCTGAACATGGACCTGAGCATGGACCCGAACATGGACCCAAACCTGGACCCGAACATGGACCTGAACCCAGACGCAAACCCGCCTGACGAGCCAGGCGGGCGCTGGCACCACCTGAGGAAGCCGCGTGCGAGGCCGGGGCCTGACGCGCTCAGCTCTCGCTGCGGGTTTACGATCTCCCCATCCATCCGCCGGGCTCCATAATGCACTGCCCTCCCCTGGGAGCCGCGCGGGAGATGAAAGCGAGCGAAGCCAAACGTGCCATTGGCGGTGCTCCCTCCATTGATTTTCACACAAAATTTGCCTTCATGTACAAAGGACAGAAAAGTGATCCCATTAATAATGGATAACAACAAGAAACGAGGGATGTAATCGATGGAGTCCTGTGGGCAGTGGGGAGATGTGGGACGGGCAGGAGCGGGTGCCACCCGGTGCCTAGAAGGGACCTTCTCATCTTCCTTTCCTTGTCCCTCCCGCCCTGGCAAGTCTTCCTGAGCCGTCAGCGAGGCGCCTCTCCCACGATGGAAGACCCTGCACTTTGGGGATGAGGGGTCCCACCCACGGGAACCCAGCAAAGAGCTGTTTTCTGCACACGCCACCAAGTCATGGGTTACACTGCGTTTCCTGAAGCAAAGTCAGGGCTGTGCATGGAGATGCCGGCCACAAYACTTCCCAGAGAGCCTTGTATGAGGGCAGACACAAGATACGGGGGGAAATGAAATGCTTTCACTGTTTCTAAGTGCAAAGAAGCTTTAAAATGTTCAGTCGTGTTCTGTGAAACTGAATGCTCTCCTGTAACACAGCACGGCCGTAAGCGAAAGCCCTGCGAGCTGCAGACGAGAGCTCCGCTCACCAAGCGTCCGTGGGGCAGAGTCGACCGCAGGGCTGCCTGGCGCCTCCGCAGGGCCGGGGCTGGCGGCCGC